CGCACCTGACAACCGAGATGCCTGAGTTTACGGTTTAGGGCCTATGGATGTAGTTAACCGGTTTAGGACCATGTAGGATTTGTGTTTAAGGTTTACTTGGAGGTTCATGACTGGGTGAGTACTCATAGCTGGCTTAGGGCCACCTAGGCGATACGCAGGGTTGTAAGCCCAGAAATATTTATTTGCAAAGTCCCAGGGACCTCCAGGTAGAGCTTTTTTTGTAACTCCGTAGATCTCTTGCTTCGCGTGCTACCCAAAGGAGCTTGTACGCGAGGTTGATGGGATTTACCTTTCCACGTGATTGAGCATGTTTTGCTTACGAGCTGATGGGTTACAGTAGTAAATACATGTGTATACTGTACAGCATGTGGGCCCCGATAGAAAGGATTTCGATATTCTGAATAAGTGTCGTGGATGATAGACCAAACTTTGTATTTCATGTGGAGAGCACCACACACACCTAGCCCTCATCGAAGGCTCACGTAGGTCCTCCTGGGCACACGCCTGTGACTCTTCACCGGCAAGCGCCCGAAACTAATGCCAAAGGCCCCACGCACAATAATGTACTTCCCCACAACCTGTACTACGAATTAGCATTACCTGAAATCCTGATTCTTCCCCCCAAAAAAATATGTACTACCATTACTATGCGTATTCCCCGACCCAAGTATGTAGCGCAGTATTGGGTGCATTACGACAAGTACCAATTGTATTACGGAAGTATCGGGTACATGGGTTTAGGGTTTAGGGCTCTTAAGGAATACGGGAACCCGGTGACAGTCTTCTATACCCTGAACCTTTCTTAGGGTACCGAAGTTTGTATATAGAAGACACTAGACATGAAGTTAGATATCCTGAATACTGATGCTGCGGCTTGTCTGCCATCTACCCTAAAGCCTAGACCCTAATTCTTTCCCCTTGAACTTATTGGTAGGGAATGGAGGAATGGATCCCTCCGGTAGCGCATGTGGAATCCGCAATGGAGAGTCCCTACAACGCAGTCAGCCCTTCGCTGCTGACCAGCAAACTCCAAACCTTGCTAGGGGAATAGGGACTACTTGCAGGGTTGGGGGTACTGAGTAAGTAGTCAATATTGGGGCTAACTGGGGTTATCAACATGGCCCATAGGGTTTATAAGTATACGTACTAAGTCCACCTGACCCTAGAAGTAAGGTAAGTGTGGCTTCATCGAAGACCTTCAGATGATTTACAACCGCAAGAGTGAGCCTACTGGCGTGGTACCTCGGATCATGAGTGCCGATGGGGTAGGATTCCCACAGAGCCCGATACACCTGGACAAAGCATGTAACCTACATGATACGTGTCCTTGACATGATTTGTTGTAACATCTTGAGGAAAGGGGTATCGGGCTCCCCAATTTTTAGAGGTGGGCTTAAGATTCTAGGGGGCTAGTGGGGTCTTCATAGGAAGCACTGGAGTTTCGAAAATGGTACATTTGGGCAAGTACTTTCTCTACTGAAAACCGCACTGAAAATTCCACTCCAGACTTCACATTCCCACAAGTTGCCATTTGGCACATGCGAGCATGCATGCCACACACCAACATAGCCAAAGAGGCAGCTGAAAAGTTCAACGTCCTCAGAAGACATTCCCGCATCAGTGTCCTCTGTGTTAGCAAGGCCAGCGTGGTAAAGTAAGCATGCTGCAGAAACAGTACAGCGATTGCCTATTTGTGTGCCCTATCGTGGAGTACTTTGTGCCATGAAGGTGAACTTGGTTGGGGCCCAGAAGACCACAAGGAGACACAACGATCCTCCCAGCAAGGATGCCTAGCTTTCCCTAACCCATGAATCCCACAATGGTAACTGGAGCCCTGCCCGACATGTTGCCTTGTTTCATTTTGCTGCTTACTTAGATCAATTGTGCCTTCAACTATTATGGACCCTAAGTGCCTTAAATGGGGCTGTGCCCAGAGTATGCATCATCCTGGGAACGCTAAATGCCAGGGATTCGGATGGTGTTTGTTTAAGTCAAAGGATTACAAAGGCTACGCACCATTGGCATTATGCAGGTGCTTGGGCTTCTAGGGAGCCCTTGATACTCCCAAAAAACAGGGACCCTTTTGGGCAGTTCCTAAAATCAGGAGTAATGTACGTATATTGCGTTCCATGTGGGGGACCCCTATTTATGGAACCTGAAATCCATTGAACGGCATGACTTGGCAGACTGTGATCTGCAGAAGGTATACTTGCAGATTCATCTAAATAATATCGACTTCAGACTTGCTTCAATACTGCCCAATGGGTACATGCCAGGATTCAAGTTTCTATGTATCCCGTCAGTGCCAAGATGGTGGTTACCTTGCAGGAAGAGAATGGGTCCCTGTAGTTGCTATAGTATCTTGGTGTACGTAAGGCCCCCGCCAATTTTGTTAAACCTGAATGGATGGTTCAGGGCAAATTGCAACTGAGGCCATCATCGAGTACTCTCAGGAGGAGCCGGTAGCACGGGCTGTGGCCCTGCCTGCTCCCTTCAACGAGACCTTTGGCTCAAGTTGAGAGGTCAAGATTTTGCCGGGCTCACACCCTTCCCCGAAAAAGTCCAAGTACCTATCTAGTAGATAGTACTTGGACCCTGTGGCATTGCCTGTATTACCAGGTCGTTTACAGGGGGGTTGGCTCAACGGGGCGAAATACCTAGTAATCCCCAACACCATAAATAAACCCTGCACCCTAAACCCTGCAAACCGGGCTCTCTTTGCCTTCCCTAGTACCTACTCCCCAGACCCCCTAGAGGATCGAAAAAAGGAACACCCCAGGAATGGTTGCGAAAATACATTGGGGAAGCTAGGGGATTATTGAGGGGCTCCATTTTTTGGGATCCTTTACAGGTCTGGGTCTGTGGAAAGCACACAAGTGCAAGACTGATCCCTTGTTGAGCCAAGGCCGATACCATAATATGAATGGGGGGGCCTTAGTATGGGGACTCCCAAAATGGGTAACAGGGTTTCGGATTTGGGGTTCAAGGTTTAGGGTTCGGAGACCCCTATATACTTTTTGGCCCTAGAGCATGTATTCGAGAATCCCATTGGAGACAAGGCGTGTAATCAGATACTTGACACCCACGGCTTTGCTGATTTAACAGCTGATGCTTGACACGGGATTCAGCCACACCTTTCGGGTGAGAGCCCAATACGCAACACCTAAGCAGGGGCATGTACGGAGATTCCTATACGATACTTGAGTTAAGGTAAATCCCATAGACCATACTAGGATCCCTGATGTAAGGTTTACTCCTTGCTTAAGGGCTTGCTGGCGTCCTGGGTACACACTAAGAAACAATCCTCGGTCCTGATCAGGCTCCGAGCTGATTTGCGAGAAGTAGCTGTTTGGGGTTTAGGGCTTAGGGGTATCCCTTGTAATCTCCAAGTTCAGCATGTGGGGTGTCTAAGGTCTTGAGAAGACCTGAGCATCAGCCCAGGGAGCCCAACACGCCGTAGTAAAGCAAGGTACCTCAGACCGGGGTTCGACAGCTGTTGATACATAAAATCCTGTACGACCCTACATACTGCTTACCTGATGAAATATGATAGTTGAGTGGACCAATTTTTACTAGCAAGAATATCATCATCCAGCGTACCTCCCTTCATCAACCGTAAAGGATTCAAACAATCAATCATAGTACATTTCCCCAAAACCTTTACTACAAATATCATTATACCCAAATCCCAAGTACCAAATTATTGTGCACTTTGAGGGTAATGTATATAGTAGTTTGCAGAACTAAGCGGGCCCAATATGGATTGATCAAATTTTGGGGGAACCCCAGAAAAGGGGTGCGAAAGCCTAAACCCTATACAAACTGCTATATCAGAAGCCCTTCATATCCCCTTTAAAGGTACCCCACATGGGGGGTTTTGGAAAGCCCTGAGCCCCTCAGCATCAGCCATCAGGATCCTCGGCACGCCCGTAACGACGAAGAGGGCAGATGTACAGGTTCCGAAGAAGGACCCAGGCCGGGCTCATATCCTCATAAATAGATGTATATATATATATATAAGAGACAGAGAGAGAGAGGGAGAGAGAGAGAGAGAGGGCCTTTAAGGTCTATTTGATGTCTCCCTTTTCATTATTTCACTGGTAATACTGTAATTAATTAGACTAGCTATTTGTTATTTTGCTTAGAAACTAAAGTCAGGCCCACGTTTTTGGAGGGCCCCAGAACAAGGCCAGCATCATGAGCAGCAGCCGGCCAACGATTTTGGAGGGCCCCAGAACAAGGCCAGCATCATGAGCATCAGCCGGCCAACGTTTTTGGAGGGCCCCAGAACAAGGCCAGCATCATGAGGCTTACGTTGTGGGAGGACCCCAGAACAAGGCCAGCATCATGAGTATCAGCCGGCCAACGTTTTTGGAGGGCCTTAGAACAAGGCCAGCATCATGAGCATCAGCCGGCCAACGCTTTTGGAGGGCCCCAGAACAAGGCCAGCATCATGAGCATCAGCTGGCCAACGTTTTTGGAGGGCCCCAGAACAAGGCCAGCATCATGAGCATCAGCCGGCTTACGTTTTGGGAGGGTATCTGTCAAGCTGGAGAAGGTCAACAAAACTATCACAGTCATTGATGACGCTGGTGTGCATAAACTGCCTACCAGAGTTTTCCAAGAGGCATATGCTGGGGCAGCGGATCAATCCACTATCGTATCCTACTGGAAACACGTTCTCAAGGACAAAGTGGACAGCAAGCCCCACATGCTGCTTAACACAGTGGCTGGGGCTTGTTCAAATAGATTTAAGTCAAATGCAGCCAGACCCCAAAAACCAAAAACCAAGATGCTCAGGACTCTTGATTCACGGTTCTTGGTTCCCAGGACCAGACTGCATTTCAATGCGCATTCGAAGTTTTAAGTCAAATGCTACAAGGCCCTAGGAACCAAGAACAAAGAACCAAGAGCTGGACATGTTGGTTGGTTCTTGGTTTCTGGGCTGCATTTAAATCTGCATTTACAGATTTAAGTTAAACACGGCCAGCGCCAGGAACCGAGAACCAAGAATCAAAAGTCCTGGGCATCTTGGTTCCTGGTTCTTGGGGCCTGGATACATGTAATAAAAATTGCTAAAGCAGATGGCGGAAACGATCCTCAAGAATGTTGGTTCCAAGTTGCTGTCGTAAGGTGTGTACCCCTAAAAACGGTGAGATCCTGAAGCAAATGGCTCCAGCTTGCTTTGAAAGCCTATATTTCTTCGTTCATACCCAAAAAACGGTGGATCTTTGGGGGGGGGAGGGGGGTACCATATATATATATATATGTGATAATAAATCTAGCTCTTTATATTGCAAACATGAAATGGTGGTTAGATAAGAATAAATGATTAACGCCAAAGGTATCGGGCATACACTTTTTGTTTACTGTTTGGGTTCAGGGCTTACGGTTCAGGCCCAAGAATAGAGAATCAATTGGGAAAAATGGAATGACATGGAAGTTTGGTTTATTTATGCTGAAACAGGTGGGATTCAGCATCGAGAGTTTCTTTTACAAGGTTCTGGGGAACATCAGGACTCAAAGTCTGTGAGCTTTAGATTGGTGTACGCAGGTGCTTGGGGCAGTCTGGGTTCAAGAATGCTTGGGTTTGGGGTTCACCCACCCTTATGCATATACACATATGTAGGGGTTTTTCCGAACATGGGATGTTCCAATGTACGCCCAAAACCTTTGGAATTCATAATTGTCATCATATGAGGACTTCCAAAATGTTTTTGATCTGCGCAAGCTTCGGTCGAGAAGCCGTCAGCCTGGGACTTCCAAATGGGGCTCCTAATATTTGGAGGTGCTCACAGCAATCTACACCCAGGTTCATTGCGTGGTATCGAAGACTGATCTGGGCGGATCGAAAAGGAAGTGGTTCCTCAACCCCGGATATTGAAACATGCACAAAACGACAGAAATCCCAGCTCAGGCTTTAGGGAGTTAGTCCTTTCTCTTGAGGTTTAATATCTACCTGAATCAAACCTGCGCAAGGGATGCGTTTAGGGTGTGGGGAGTTGGGTACTTTCCTCTGAGCCTCAATATCTACTTGAACCTCGCCAGAAGCCGTCCCTGAATCCGAAACCCTAAACCCTAGGCTCGTCCATAAGCCCTGAGCCCTGTAATTCCTCGACCCTGCACCCCTGACCCTAAACCCCCCTGCCTGGATGAAAGGCCCCAAACGAACGCTGACACGACAGCAGCTCCTGGGCCTAAATCAAATTAGAAGAGGAGGTACGTTATATCATTCTGTTAAATGATTCGAAGAGTATGACATGGGAAATCAGGATTTGGGGTTTAGGGAACTATCCTTTTATACTGATATCAAACACCTCCCGACTACCAGTGATATCACATAATCCCCGTAAGAGACCCTATATATTGGGGGGACATATCATAGTACAGGTGGGATGGTTTTCAACGTACGTATAAAGAGATCAGAAAATGCTGTGTATGATACGCTGTGAGCATATGAGGATTCCATGATGTGAGTATTTGTTGCCTCTACATTGCGTTGGTTCTAAGTTTTCTTTCTCAGGACCAGCTGGTATTATAGCTGTTACTTTTACGAATGTTCCCCCTAAACCCTAATCACCAAACCAAAACAAAACAAGGCCTAAGCCCTAAACGCTAGTCCTATGATTATTTGAGGTTCACGCAGCAAGTCCTCAGCGGCCTCACGAAGGCGGCAGAGCCACAGCCGGACAAGCGCAAGTTCCTTGTATGGAGGTTCAGGGTTTAGGGCTTAGGGTTCAGGGCTTCGGGTTTAGCAGGACCCCAGCTACCCTCAAAGAGAATTCTGCAGGGTTATATAGAGTCATATAGGGTTATGTAGGGTGATAGGACATGTTTGCATTATTTGTCAGGGCCCCCAACTCACTGTACAATGGGGTTTATGTATGTCCCATTTAAGGTAGTGGGGTTCTATAGCAAGCACTAGGCAGGACATGGGAATCGGCTCTCTGGATTTGGTGTAGGGCTTGGGCTTTAGGGTTTAAAGCTTCATGGGGTTTGGGCCTAACCCTCTCGAGATCCCAAAACCCCAAAGAGAAAGAGGTGATATTTGAGGCTTGAGGGCCTAATCTAGGTATCATGCAGGATAGTTCAAAAAAAGCCATAGTTTGACAGCCGCCGCATATAATTCAACCTATCCCTACCCCGACAAAAGCACCTGAAAGCCATCAGCGCTAGAGACATATGATCCCGAAAAGCTCAGAACTTCCGCAGAAGCCCAGCATCATACTGCGGTTTAGGTTCAGGCTTGACGCAAGAAATCCTACTCCATTGTGATGGTCTCAAATCCTGGGACCTACATCAGTTTCGGCCCCCAGGCGGTGCAAGGTGCATCCATCAACAGTATCGTGTTGGCATTGTCTAAAGCTAGGGTGCAGATCTGTACATACTGCAGATACAGGAATGCTTGCACCACCTCATCTGCATTATACACTAGAAATTAGAGTACACTGGGGTTCTTAACTGGTGCAAGATTGCCTCTATCTGGCGTAGCCTTGTTTCGATTATGGAGACCCTCCAAGAGACTCCTAATTTTGGAGAAGCCCTGATCCCTACATATCCTTGTCTTCCCCAGATACACTGGATCCCTATGTTCCCTACCTAGCCCGGTGTGACCCCTTCAACTGAAGGCTCCATATCAAGAACATGGAGACACTGGATCCCTTTGTGGAGTATACGTCAGATGGTTATAGGATTCCACGGTAAGTTTCGGCGTGAATTAAAGGGTATTAGGCTCCCTGCAAAACTCTATTCCCAAAACCCCACACCCCAAATCTAAGGCCCTAATCACAAAACCCGAACCCCTAATCCCAGAACCCTGAACCACTGAAGGCTCCACATCAAGAACCTCAAGACGGTGGTGCGAGAAGATGACATGCGTGGCATCTTCAAGCCCTTCGGTGACTTCGAAGACTTCCTGACGCTGGCCTCGGCTTAGGGTTTAGGGTTTGGGGTTCAGGGCTTGAGGGTAAAGGTGTCTACCTGGAGCTGGATCTTTCAGTCCCCAGGGCCCGTAAGGCTTGAGAGAAACTCCCACGTTGGCAATCAAACGCCCAGCTGCCTCAGTGAAGCCAAGATAGGTTAGGTTTGCTGAAGGGACATCCCATGTACCTCCCCCCGCACTGGAGCAACAAAGAACTTAGTCTTTGTAGGGTCCTATTTGGGGGTTCCAGTTAGTTTGGGAAGTGTGTCGGGCACTAGACATGCACAAGCCCTAGTCCCTAAGCCCTAAACCGTAAAGGATGGGAACTGGCGAGTGCTGGATTACCTTCAAGAACCACAACGACGCCCAGGATGCCATGGACTCTTGACCCGCCCAGAATCAGATACTGAGGACAAATAGGGCCATGTAAAGATGTACAGAGACATATCAGTAGGGAAAAATATGGACAAGAAAGGGATATCTGGGGACGTGTCGGGGATGCATAGGGCCAGGGCCAGGGGTAGAGCTTGGGAATTCGGGGCTCTGGTTTGGGGATGCTTGTTTGTGGAGTTTAGGGTTTTGGGAGTATGGTGTGTAGAGTTCAAGGTTTGTTCATGTGGCCCTACCCAGCAATAGTGGTATAGGATCAGAAAATATATCTATGAATAATCATATTGTATAATTACATTTTCGCTTGTGGACACTGCTACTGGGTCAGGGCCTGACACAATGAATAGCGTTCAGGGGTCTATATGGTTTAGGGTGCTGATGTGGGTTTTACGGCTGGGGGTTTCTTGGTTTAGGGTCTAAAGTGCAGTCCTCGTTTTCGATGCATTCATCCTCCTTTGTTGCATTGTTTCTGCATGTGGGTGGTGCGCAAGCTTATCCCTCGTCCTTTTCTGGGCCTTAGACAATTCTCGCGTTGGGCGCCCAAGCAGCCAGCATTTCCTACAAGAAGCCTGCAGCTATGTGCGATGACCGTTCCCTACCCTCAAGCCTTGGTGTAGGGTTTAGAGCTTTTGGGTTTACTAGTAATTGTTAAATAGGATTTGGGAATGTTAAATTAAATAGCTATAAACTTTGGACCGTCAGGGTGGTTTCATAAGCTCTTGATCGGAAACCCTCAACCTACACCAAGTCTGCTTACTGGGGGCTAGTAGGAATTAGGGACTACATTGTATAGGGATCTTATTCCCTTCCTCCCTACTAACCGCCAGGAAGTCTAAACAGAATCCCAGAAACAAAAACACTTGGCCACTCCTAAACCCCTAAACCCTGAACCCCTAAACCTCTAAACCCTGTAAGTTGCAACGCGGCTTCATGGCTCAGGCATCCATGCAGGGCTTCCAGCTGGTAGGACAAGAGCTCCAGATCCTCGGGCCAGCAGCTATAGCCGTTTCCGTTTAGAGGTTTAGGGTCTAGGGCCGAGAGATGTTAAAGATGCAGTTCTATGTATAAAGAAGGCGGATATGGTGTGGACCAGGGCCCAGAGGCAAGTCTACAAATGGGACCGGCCTTTGGCGGCTGTAAATAGTATGTGTGATCAGCTATTGGGAGATATGTGGGAGCTGAGCTTTCCGGGCTTGTACGCATTCCCTGATCTAGCCGATAAGCTGTTACAGCTGCAAGGCTTCCCAAGTTTACCGCATCATATGTCGGTACAACGATCTGAAGCCACCCCAAATAAGATCCCCGTCATTGTTGCCTTTGGACCTGGAGCGTCCTAGCGCTTGTGTCAAATTCATCTATGTAAGGCTTAAGGAATTGCAGAAATCTGGCCTAGACTTCAGACAACCCTGAAGAGGGCATTCTTTCGAACATGACCCCAATAGAATCTTCAACAGGAACCGCTGGGGTCCTTGCATAATCCATATGTCCAGGGTCTCTGGTGCCCCCCCAGCCCCCGATTTTGAGTGACGCCTCAGACATGAGCAGCCAGGATCACGATGCTGTCTGTCAACGCAAAGGCAGGTGCAGACGCCCTGTCGGAGCCTCCGAAGGCTAAGCCCTTGGATATCAAAAATGATGCTGGGATGCACTCAAGGGGCTCTCACCATTATGACTCCTTTTTTGAGGGGGCAGAACCTGACCTTAAACTGTTCAATGACTTGCTTAAAAAGCACAAGTCTAAGAGAAGCATCCTTTTAGGATCCAGGTACGCCTGTGGAATCATGAAATCAAACACTAAACCCTATATTCTGGTTTGGTCGTCGGTCCGCTAAGGCTTCAGGAGCTGAGAATGCGATGGATAGCACTCTTTGCAGAATCATCAAGACCTAAATCAACTCCATGCATGAGTGTTCCATATAATTCCCCTTTCGCAGGTGCTAACGTATCTTGCAGACGGAAAGGCCGGCTCTTTGCTAGAGTGCCCAAGTAGGGTTTAGGGTCGCTCATACGGTTTGGTGTCTAGGGTCCAAGTACTGCATTCGTTGAATCATCGGTGTCTTGGTATGGTAATGGAGCTTCCTGTAAGTATAGATTCCCTGGGTGCTGAAACCATGAAGGGTTATGGTTTAGAGTTTACGGTTTAGATCCTAATTGTGAACGCTGTCGTGCACCCGCCTCGGCTGTTGGGGTGCACAAAAAATTCTTCGCAGACCACGTTTATGGGATGAGGGGAGATGGGAGGAGGTGAGGAGGGGCAAGGGGGGTGGGTGGGTCGGGGGGGGGAGCTTGGGGTCTGCAAAGTGGATTTCTTTAGAGGGCTCCAAACGCCCTGAAACTGGATCAGGCTAGGGGAATGATTGCGTTGTAGGGCCGGCCCTGTCAGACATGGAGTTGTTGAAAAGCTTCATGGGTTCCCTGGCTGTGTACCTCGCCTATGCTAGCCTGCTAGGTTCAGCCTTAATCAGCCCCAATTATACCTGAGTAATCCTAAGAAAGAGGAAGGACACAATGGGGTAAGGGACTCCATAATAGATAGGCATGGGATAGTATTCCGGCTATAATGGGACCCGGGAGTTATACGCAGGAACCCCATCAGAAGATTTGTAACCACATTTCAACCTGCTTACTACGTCCCTTGAGCCTTTGAACGGGAGACCCCAATCTTTCAAGTGCAGCTTCATTTGCCTCCAGTTTGATAGTAAAAAATCTACCTGCAAACATGAGTTGTGCCGCTGAGGACAGTGATTTTGGCGCAACGGGCACAGGGTCCTCGAATGTCCACGATCGCATTGACATCATGAAGAAGCTGATGCAGTCACACTCAGGCCCGGGGCTGAATAGGGTCAGGGTTTGGGGTTTAGCGTCAAGGCTTTTGCGTTAGTGACTTTTCGTAGGCTTTTTTTGGCTATCACAGGTCGAGGCTTGCCGAAGTAAGTGCAAGGCTGGGAAAGAGGGTCTGCGGCACTCACCCCGAACCAATTGTTTAAGTTTTTTTGCGGGTTCCATGCTGGGGGGAGCGCACTACAGACCCAGGTACCAAAGCCTGGGTACCGAGCAAAAACTTCATCCTAAACTTTCAACCCGCGCACTAAGTCTCAGCGCCGAACCCTACCCCCCCTCCTTCCTGAAACCCTATGCTCCTAAACCCTCGCCCCTAGACCAAAACACAGAAACTGTACTTGGAGTTTGATAGGACTTGGCAATTACTTGCAACTGTCCGCGGCCGTTTTAGCCCTGTGCGCAATCTTCCCAACTGACCCTAATATAGTTCATGCACAGTGCTACAGTCCCAGTTTTCCATGCGCCCCCAACTTGGAGCCTGATTTGGGCACCAAACCATAGGCTCGCAGCTCCAGGCAAAAAAAAAAAAGCAAGCTTTCAAGTCTTGTTCTTTAAGTCTATTGTTGGCTCTGGCTGTTAACTTTCCATTATGTCAAAAGCCAATAAGGATTCTTCTAATCATCCCAACGAGGAACACGAAATGTCTGAGGCTCCAAAGTGCCAACAGTTGTTGGCCTTGCTGTGCCCAGCGGAAGCAGTACTGAGCCGCCAGCAACGATAGCAATGACAGACGCCAACTCGATGCAGCTCGGCAAAGTCCCCCAGAGGTTTAGCAAATCATTGCTAAGGGCAGATCAGCGGTACTAGGAATATCAAGCAATGAGCCTGAACCCTAAATTACGCGGTTTAGAGTTTAGGGCTAGTTTAGGCCCAGAAGTTCAAGCCCTGATCTTGAAACGCTAAATCCCCGACTCCCCCTCAGGACGCTACATCCTAAACCCTCTCCTCTCGAGCGGACCAAGGCCGCCGGTGCCAAAGCCTGCAAAGTCGACGAGCTGCACATTACTTCTGCAGCTTCTTGGCCCAATGCTGTTTGGAGATTTAGAGGTTTAGGGGTTTGAGGTTTAGGGCAGGGCTTTGGGGGTATTAGTGTGCAGGCTTTTTAGGATTTAGGGCTTTGTAGGGTTTAGGATTAGGGTCTAGAGTTCAGGATGTTATGCTTTCAAGTCTGGTACACACTCGAACTATAGTACAGATGCTTGGTCTTTGGTCGGCATATGATTATTGGGTGCTCGACCGGGGGCTTAGGGTTCCCCAACGGCGCATAGTTTTGGAACGTCCGAAAAGTAGATCCACAACCCGAAGCCAACAGGGCTCGAAGCTTGACTGTCACAGTCAAACAACATTGCCTCCAATGAACAATGTACTACAAGGGCATACATGCTGACCGAGCGTATGGCCTAGGTTGCATGTATGATCGTGGTTTTGCGTACCTCAGAAATGCTAAAATTATGATTATGGCAGTCAAACACTCGCATGAACAATTTATCTCCACATGCGGGAGTGCATCTGTATGTTGGCTTGTTGACCAACCCTTCGAAGCCAGAGCCCTCAACCATCCACACCACACCCTGGAATCCAAATCCTGAACGCTGGGAACTTATCCCTAAACCCTACGCCCTGAACCCCGAAGATGACCTACTGATTTCAAATCGCGGCAGCCAGATTTTGGGTACGTGTCACTTGGCCGAGCGCTCACGTCGAAGGTTCTGAGAGATGGGTACTCGGGTATGCAGTTAGGGTATGGGGTTTAGGGTGTATAGAGATTATGGTCTCAGGGAATGCCATTGTATCTTGTGTACACCTCTTGACAACCCTGCTTTCCAAAAACTGCTTGACCTGCCTTACAGGCTCAACCCAACACCGCGTGAGCTTGGGATGCTGCAGCCAAGGAATATGTTCACGCCCTCCAGCGTGGACCTGCAAAAGGACGGGGCTTGTTGTTTGGGGCTAAGCTATGATGATCTCTGCGCTGAGCAAGTCGCAACTCCGCTGTCTCTGGATTCAGGAAGTTTGGGGTATTTGGGTCTTTCGGTCCTTAAGCATGAAGCAGCCCTAAATCCGAAAGGCAATACAGAGCATGGGAATCTTGGTTTTAAGGTCCATGCATGAATTGTCAAGTGCTTGTCTGTTTGGCTTTGTTCCGATGGGGTGCTGTGAACAATTTCTTTGCCTTCAACCGGAAGCCCTAAACCTTAAACCTCAAGCTAACTTCTGCTTAAGTGATGGCATGCTTAAGCTGCAAAAAAAAACATGTTCCTGGACTTTCGGGGGTCTCGACCCCAACTACAAGGCACAGAGCAGGAATCACAGAAACCCCAGGCCCTAACCTCTAACAAGGTCTAGTTCATCATAAACTCTTAGAAAATGAACAAGCCGCGCGGTAGGGCACCCCTGATGGCTTGTAAGGGCCCCCTCAAAGCGGTTATAGGGACATGAACCAAAACAATATGCATCATATGTGCATAGAGGGTTCAGGGTGGAGGGTTCCTGACGAATTTCTTAGCAGTAGCATTCGTAGGCTTTTCAGGAAGCAGATGATTACTAGGTACTTGGACCCTTAGGGCAAGCTTGCTCAAAAGGACCCCAGCATCTACGACGCCATTCGCGAAGACACGCTCGAGGAGTGTTCCAAGTTTGGGAAGGTGCGAGAGTCCTCTTTTCGAAAAAAGGGTTACTTCTAAGAATCTCAGGAGGTTCCACCTTGAACTTATAGGCACACTTTCTCAACTCCGCGCTACCATGGGGCATTCCGCGCAGACTGGATACATTCTCCCAAACAAGCATGGAAGCTGGGCAGGGGATGCTTGGGGACATGGGGTGCCATCAGTTTGGGGTTCCACGTTCGTTTGGGTTAGGGTGGCTCAGTAAAAAAAGTCGTTTGCTTGAACATCAGCAAAAGCTAGCATCTTGACTTCTATGCGGGTTGCCGAAAGCTGAAAGTGGTAGAGGATGCATCATTACCAAAGGATGTGTACCAAGGTGCTGACCTTCTTGTGTGGCAAACCAGACGGAGCCGGTTTCTGCTAAGATAAAAGATACTCTCGGCAGCTCCACGCATTGGATGCCTAGATTGTAGAGATGCTGACCAGGCCTGCCATATTAGGAGCCTTTGGGGTTTTGGGGGTCCCTCCAATAAGGACCCCTATTTACGCAAACTACGCCTTCTCTCCAAGTCCGACTGCAGCACGCAAACACACGGTAGGTGGTGCACGTCACTGTTGACCCGCGTGGCAATGCTGGGCTCGTCTACATCCTCTATGAACTCCGGCTGCGATGGATTCCCTGATCAGGGTGTAAGGTTCCCCACACCCATTAACTGTTGGATAATGTCAGAAAAGATTTACATATAGCCCTTAATATGACCGCTGTTATAGACTGCTAATGGGTGGGGACAGGACTCAAGGATAGGGTTTCCTCATAATGGCAAGTTAGTTTAAGTAGCTCAGGTTAGGATGTAGGACTTAGGGTTTCAGGGCTGGTTACTAGCTCAAGCGAAACCACAAGCACCCCCAAAACGTTTACGGTCTAGAGTTTAGGGGCGTTTTGGGTGTGTAGGGCTTAGGGTTTAGGACCGACAGTGCACCACAGTGGGCCTCAACCGCAAGATTAAGGTGTGTTCGGAGGTGGCCTACATAGGGCTACATGCTTGTTTGTCTAAGCTATAATGAGTGTGGACAGTTGTTTGGAGGTATTTGCTGCACGGACGCTTGATGTTTCATGCCACATTTAGGATTCGTGCCTGGTGTTTTGGGTGTAGGTTTATGCCCCAAATCTACGAAGTTCTACAAAGTCCTGACCTCTCATGACATCAGCAGGTTGAAACAAATCTCTGCGGTTGAGTCCAATTCCCTGTATTTGATGCAGCTCACTTTCGCCCACTTTACTCAGACACGGAATGTACTCTAAAACGAAGGGGTATTGGGCTCGCGGTATACCGAGACCCGGATAGCTCGGTGAAAGAAAAGTCTGAAACCCCAAATTCTAGATCCCTGACTCTGAGCCGCGCACTCTACTTAGAGTAATTTTAACCCCTCGAAAAGAATGAGGATATCAAACTATTAGATACGACACGCTATGTCTAGATACAGAAGTTACTCTAGGTAAAGAACCCTAGACCCTAAACCTGAAGCCGAGGAGACGCCTCAGCAGAGACTGGCTGGCGAGCTGGCTTTTAACGGCCGCTGGTTCGAGGGCAAAAAGCCCCTCCAGCTTGCATTGCGGGGCGAGGGAGGTAGGGTTTAGGGGTTGAGGATGGGTGGTTCAGGACTCAGGTTTTAGGTTTTGGGGTTTTGGGGCTTAGGATTTTCATGGAACCCATTGCATCCTTTTAGGTGTCGGTTTCTGGAAGCTGGTTTTTGGTCAGTGCATATGAAGTTCCATAGGAATTTTGCACCCGAACTCCTGAAGCTTCAAGACCTGAGCTAGATGCAGAAGTTCACCTATGTATGCAGGGTCTTTAGGGGTTCGGATTCAGGTTTTGGATCTTAAGCATGTTGTCTACAGGGAGTGTGCCAGGGTTCGTCATGTTTTGTGCAGGGATAGTCCCGGCAACTTCGAGATTTCTGGAGGGTTCCAAAAAAGCAGTGATCCTTCATAGTGTATTGATTGAGGTCTATATTGGGGGTCCCTCATGAAAATTACCATTTCCAGGGATTGTATCATGAGATTTTCGAGCTTTCCCAGATTCAGGGTGCAATTTGTCGGCTGCATGAGTTGGGGCGTTTGCCTGTAGCCGATGCACCTAAAAGGGCAGCGTTGTCCCCAATGCTGCGGTGCCTCTACTTCATTTCAAGGGTGGAAGCCCTACACCCTAAGCCCAATTCAGGGTTTCTGTCCCGAGGCTGCCATATGGAGGTCAAAGATAAGATGATCATGCATGCTATTGTATCAAGAGAAAAAGTTTGTGTTTGTGCGTGTGTGTCTGTTTGTGTGTTTGCGTGCATGTTTGTGTGTTTTTGTGTTTGTGTGCTTGTGTGTGTACCATTTTCTACAGAGCTGTCTAGGGTTTAGGGTACCCTGACGCTTTTTGGGGTGTACGGCATTTGTGCACGACATGTCAACTTGCCTGTTGGGAAGCTTGCACATTTTGTCGGATTCGCGTGGGAAGAGTAGCAGTAGCAGACCGCTAACCTGTACTGCTGAGTGTCTTGGGGGCTCATTAGGGGCTGATAGTCTTAAGTGATGGAAGAGTTCCTCTGTCCAGCGTAAAGTTGGGACTGTGCAAAGTGCAGTCAGGTTGTTCTGGTTATGTTGTGCCACTTAGGATGAAAACTTGGCGTTTGAGGTTCAACTCCGAGTTTGCAAGTTTCTGGCTTGATAATCGCTTGAGCGTTTCGAGTTTCAGGTTTAGGGCTCCCTAAACCCGAAAACCCAAGAGAGAGAGAGAGAGAGAGAGAGAGTTCAGGGTGGCGAGCGTTTCTTGCGACTTGTCGTTGTTCGCGGCATGTTCGGGTCACTCTTGAGGGAGCATGTTTAGTTCAAGTCTTAGGGTTCTGTCGAGAGCAACACATGACCCGAAATCGCAAGCCCTGACCTCTAAACCTTGACATCAGCTCTATGCCCAACAAGTCCCTAAGACCCATTCCCCCATTCCCCACTAAGCACCAGGCAGCTTGCCCATCCCAATGAAAAACAACAACTGTGACACGAGACCTTTGTATCCTAAACCTAATGGATCAGAAAACCTCTCCATCTTCAGCCACAAAAGTCATCATTGGCAGGTCCTAGGTCATGCGTTTCGAAGATGCCTTCGTCATGTCTTATTCGGGTTCGAAATTCCTGCATGCAGATCTTCAAGCAATGCTCAGATTCTTATGCCCTAAAGCTTGACCTCCGCCCTTATGGAATACAAGCCCTGGGCGCCTTCAACGTGTATATGGGGATATGTAGTAGGGATCTTATTCAATACTGGAAAATCTCCTAAGCTTCTATACCTACGCCTGAAGCTCAGACTTTACAGCCCAAGCTCGACACCACAACCTTAAGCCTATGCAACCAATCGCCTGCACACCTGAGGATCACGGCTTCAGGTATCGACGATGATATTTGGCAAGAGCTTGCTGCGCAAAGCGAGAGCCCCTCCTAGCTTCTTGCGTCGTACTCGACAGATCTAGAGATTGGGTTTTTAGGGGTACTGGGGCTCATCATGCTGTAATGGTTCTGATGGAAGCCTGTTGAGGTAGGAGTCCTTAATCCGATGCATCTTGCAAGGGCTCTTGCTCCGAACCAACCCCATTCACATGAAGCCAGATGCAGTTCCAAACGCATAACATACGAGGTGATCACTCTGGAGGGACGCTCGCTTAGGAACTACGGACGACATGCTGTATCAGAGACAAAAAAAGCGCGAGGACGACCCTCCCCCGAGCTAATGGGGGACCCCCTGTAGCCTCCATGTCCTTCTGAAGATATTGGTTCGGGACATCATACGATTCATAGTTGTTCTGTTTTGGAACACCTGCCAGGTGGCGCAAACCCCAGTTCTAGCCAGGTACTTTTGTTTAAAGTCTCCTACAAGCGGTATTATAGAGAACATTGTAGAACACTGTTGCTTCGCAACATACCACCTAGAACTCCTGTGTCATGTGTTGCTTTGCTTGCGCTGCCTCGTCCTTGGAACGATTCCGACTCAAGCTGAAGATTGTCGTGAATCTGAACCACCATGTCCGCCCAACAGCCTAAACCGTAAACTCCTTTCCTTGTTTAGCTAGCGTCTCTTGCAGAGAGTGAGCAATTTTTTGGTTTAGGTTTAAGGTTTTTGGGCTGCGAATCCAGAGTTCCCAGTTAAGCCAAAGGTTGCCAAGGAGCTGCATGACTGTAAGGGGCCAAGTACCCAATAATCATAGACTTGCCCCCAAACTGCACGACTGGTACCATCCCAGGTACCCGACTTTTAGATACCCTAAACTGTATACCTTGTTTGGGTACATGGACCCTTAGGGTGACTCATGAAGCAGCAAAGAATGCAGCTAAAAGACCATGAATGGGTGGAGGGTTGGCTGAGACAAGTCTTGGGTTTAGGGTTTAGAGTTAAAGGTTTTGGGTCAAGGCTTCTTATGATAGAGGCCTGTACATGCTACTGCACTAAACGCAGCCCCTTGAGAAGACAGCAGTTTACAAGGACCTCCTTCAGGTTTCACATACTCCTCGGACCCTAAACCCAACCCCCAAAACAACAAAGCGCGCGCACAGAACAAGACGAAGCCGGAAACCTCCAAACATAGCGAGACCCTGAACCTCGAGACCTAAAACCGGAACTTCGTTCTCTCAAGGAGAAGCCACTGCATCCAAAAACGTGCCTCTCCTCATAATACCTATTTAGTGTATGACAACATTTACGCATACTCATGTATTTGTCTCTCTCTGTCTTTCTGCGGTTCTTTGCTCTTCTCGTCTCTTCTCTTCTCTTCTCTATCTAACACCTTAATTGGAATAAGATAAGTAGAAAAATGTACCCTGAACTTACTGGGGGTTAGTAGTGAATAAGGGAATTTTTTGGTGTGGGGTTATCTAGGGACTATATTCCCTTATTCCCTACTAGCCGCCCCCGCTAAGTCAACCTGGCCAAGTGTTCAGAGACATTTGGGATTCAGGGGTTTAGGGCTTGGGGTTTGGGATTTACGGTTTCCCCTTGAGGTGTGGGGAGCTCAACATGGGTTTGTCTTAAAGGGGTTATAGGCATCCTAGCGCTAGTGTAACACTAGCCCCCCAAACAGGGCCAAAACAGGAATTAATTTCGCTCTCAGGGCTCATTAAAGCCCTGTTGAGGGCTATGGTGGGTTTGGCAAGTATCTTTGGCAGTCACACCCCGCCCCCCCTTCGATTCATGCACATGCTGCCTTTGCTTCAGGTTTACAACGCGGTGAGCCCGTGTTGTTTACTTACCGGTTCTTATTAGGGAGTAAGGGAATGTACTTTATGGGGACTATATAGCGATTATATTCCCTTATCCTTACCAAGGATCTTTAGATTCCACCTCAGAGCAGTCCTCTTTGAAGCTCTAAACCTTCAACTTCGAAAAGTTTAGCTATTCCTTTGGGGCGTAGTTTGCCTGCGATCTCCTTACCCGCAGGCCATGGGTTTTCAGGGCAGCTTCAAGGCCACTTGCTGGTAACTCCTTGCAAGATTAAGGTTGACTGAGTTGCTGTTCAGGAGCTTCCTTTTTTAGAGATGAGATTACCGTAGTATTCCCTACTACCCAGTACGGTGTTTAGGGTTCTGAATGCTTGCGTTCTAGTCTTCTTTGAGAGAGCTAGAAAGCAGGTGTTTGAACCGTGCACGTCGCGAACCAAAAACGCTGAGGGTTTAGGGTTAGGTTCTATTACTTAGGATGATTTGTCATGAGCATGTCCTGTCCTAGACCCCAAACTCCTAAGAGCATGCCTCCACCGTAGAGCCCAAACTTCAAAACACCTTGATGTAGAAGCATAAAGAACCACCAATATCATTTCCTTATAATGCTTCTGGAACTCTAGCATAATATACTCCGAAACCCTGTGCTAGTCAAACTGCCTCTGCATACAATCTCAATAAGCCCCTCTATAATCACCATGGGCATGTTATTTGCCATGTTAGAGTTTCATCTCATTTTCCATCATTTTCCATCCTTTTGATATTTTTAAGCCCTAAACACGGTAAGCCTGCAATTTCTACAGCCTAAACCCCTACTTCCCAAATCGCCAGCCCCAAACCCCGCCATCCTGAAGGGCCGAACACACTAACCCCCTAGTTAAATTCGCAAACCCTTAGGGTGCAGGATCTAGGATTGAGTGGGCCCTCAAGGCTTAACCCTATTTCCCGCAAAAGCTACACGAAGCAACTTGTTGGGCATCCAGGTCACTCCGATGGCCTTCGGAACCTAAGCCAGGCTTTTGCCAGGCGAGTTGGGTGGCTCAGGGTTTCAAGGTTGTGGGCTGAGGGTTTTGGGGTTTGGGGCTTAGGGTACAGGGTTTTAGAGGCTTAGGGTCTACTTACCTAAACCCTAAACACCTAAACCCTAAACCTTTCGGGTCAACATTGAGAGTCACAGGCATCGGGTTTAATTGGAGGTTCGTGGCACTTAGGAACTGCTAAGAAATGGATCGGTAAGCCTACTTAGGTTTGGGTTAAGCCCTAGCAATCCACGTAACTCCCTTTCATTGACCTCTCAAAGAATGCACGGTTTAGGATTCAACGATACAATTTCAGGAGTCTAGGGGTTGAGGGATTTAGGGTGTAGGCCGGTAGAGTGTAGAGATCAGCCGCATGGTTGTTATGCAGCCGGCTCATCATTCATGCTTTTTTGGGTCAGGTATTGCGCATACAAATGTCAGCTATCGATGGATGATGAAACTTCTGCGAGGCTTTTTGAAATTCTACGGGCAGAGGTTCAGTATGAAAACACACAGTCAACTGAAGACGTAGAATTCCCAATAATCGCACAATCACCTCAAGATTTGTCTACTGCAAGAGATTGCTTAAGGATATGTACTTGAGTTATGCTTTCGAGCCTTTGAAGATCATGGATGTCTATGGATACTTTTTCTATGGTGGGTAGAGGAAGTCTTGCACCGTTTAGAATCCCCGAAAGATTGCAACAGAAATGGTATGGTGTATGTAAAGTAGTGCAAGTGCAAGATTGCCTCCGTGCACAAAATTTTTGGGACATGTTGTAATGTATTCATGTATATAGGGTTTAATAGTTGGCCAGCTTATTCTTTTCTACCTTGTGGACCAATAGTTCCCCCAAACCCCATTCCAATCCATCTAGGGCTTCACAGCACCCCTGCATTGCCCCTTGTACAGGTACGCGGTATAGAGCCTAGGTCCTAGGTATCCAAAAGCAACCCCTCACAAAGGGGCTTAGGCTTAAATAGGTTCCCGGGCTTTTCCAGTGGAAGGTCAGGTTCAGGCCGCAAGGTTTCTTCTGCAGATGGAAGCTGAGCACAGACGTTCAGGAAGTCTGATTCCAAGTTCGCATCCTGCGTAAACGCATGCATGCGGCTCAAGGTTTTTCGTGACCCATAAAGGGGTCGCCTGCTTCTTTGCCAGGCTTCGAGGTCTGGAGATTGGCAACCAACCCAGAGTTTCAAATTCTAAGCGCCCTGGAACCTGAACCCTGGCTCCCGATAGGCATGTTGAAGCTGATACATCCCGGAAGTTGGACACATGCACTGGATTTTCAATGCTACATCAACTTCACATTGCATGCCGCTGGAAACCTTGAAACCCTCAACCCTGAGCCTTCTTTACCTGAAGATCCTGCACCCCGCAAAACAGGATCTGAGCTTCTGGAAACAAGGGCGAAAGTGTTTAAGGTTCAGGGCTAACGGATTGAAAGGCTCACTGACTAAAGATTTTGGGGAGTTGGGGGTCGAGGGGCAAAGCCCAAAAGAGCGTGCCCACGACCCCAAAGTGATTTCTTGGACTTCTGCACGCCGCCATGAGCGACGCTTCGGTTTGGGACCTCGAAGCCGAACTCAAAAGCAAGGTGTTGGTTTCCTTCCGCTTGTCTATGGTCTGTTTGTAAACAGCTTAAGTCTGCCTAGCAAGTCGAAACAATGCAAAAACCCAGTTCCCGACCATATTGCAATTACCACTTTTGATTGGCCTTAACCTAGCAGTGGCCAAGGAAGAAGGACGCGCATCTTCCAGGACGGTTTGGCAAAGCATGGCAGCGCTCACGGAGCAGAGGCAGATAGCCACAACTTGAATTGTCTGGGTTTCGGATTTTAGGGCTTATGGCTCTGGGTTCAGGAACTACATGCAGTTTCCCAGTAAGGCAGTAGTCAAAGCACCACCGCCGCCGCCGCCGCCACCACCACCACCGCCACCACCCCCACCACCGCCACCACCGCCACCACCATCACCACCACCACCACCACCACCACCACCACCATTTCTACTCCTACTATGCTGATGATGACGACTACTACTACCTCTACCACTACAACGGCTGTTACCACTACTACTGTTACTGCTATGGCTTTTATCTACTGCTACTGCGATGACGAAGATGCAGATGACAACGTCAGGGACGGCAACCACTACGCCATGAGCATGAAACAGTGCAAAGAAACCATGACAACAACTGCAACGCAATCATGT